CTAAGGTTGAGGGCTACTTGCAGGTTCATGGGCACTTATATGTAGGGTTAAACAAACTAGGGTGACGATGGTTATAGCGTTATTTAGGGGTACTTCCAAACCCTACTTATACAAGTACCCCTGAACCTCCAAGCACAGTCTAACTCTGCTCTACCACGAAAGCTGCAACATCCTACCGCAACATCCTACTTGGAGGTTCATGGTGCTTATTAACCAATTATGACTGTACTTATAACCCACTTCTGAGCCCCTTAAGTGCCCTAATATGGTTATAAGTACAGATATAAGTAGAGTCATATTCTTGGTCAATAACTGACAACATCCTACCTCCCTTCCCTGGCCACATCGAGCCGCGCAGGTTTTTTTAGACCAATGCATCGGCTGAGGGCCAGCGGGTTTAGGAACCCGGTTGCCCCCTACGCCTCCTTCCCGAACTCCTGCACCTCCCATGCTAAACCCTAAACCCTACACCCTAAACCCTAAACCCTAAACCCTAAATGAGGGTATAAACATAGGTGCCCTGTTTAGAATCCTGCATATATAAGTACCCATGAAGCATGTAAGCCACGCGCTTGGCGATTGGCATCGCCGAGCCAATCATACCCCTCTAACTTGAACAGATGCCTAGGACCCAGGATGGCTCATCACTTAGGAAACCCTAAACCCTAAACCCTAAACCCTAAACCCTAAACCCTAAACCCGAAACCCTAAACCCTAAACCCTAAACCCAACCCCCTAGCCGCGAGAATGGACATGGTCTACTCTCATCGTAATTTTACTTACCAATCTTACAACGATAAGAAAAGGGTTTCGGGTTGAGGTGACAACCCGTGGCAACTCCCTCCGCCATCAAACACACCTCAAACCCTAAGCCCTAAACCCTAAAGCTTAAACCCTAAACCCTAAACCCTAAACCCCAAACCCCAAACCCTAAACCCTAAACCCTAAGGCAGGCTCCTGTTCCGGCTCGCACTTCGACTGGAGCTCCTCCGCCTCTCTTGATCAACCAGAGGGGCTTCGGAGTTATGGTGAGTTTAGGGTTTAGGGTTTGGGGTTTAGGGTTTGGGGTTTAGGGTTTAGGGTTTGGGGTTGGGGGTTTCGGGTTTCGGGTTTCGGGTTTCGGGTTTACACGGTTGAGGATATAGTGTTTGTGGCTTAGGATTCGCCGCACCATTGAGAGGACGGGGACAATGCGTATAGGCCTTCATGAGCCGAGCCGCCAAAAAAATCACCCACTTCCGCTGTTCAACCGCTCAAAACAGTAGACTCTCAAAGCCTCAAGACCTCAAACCCTAAACCCCCAACCCTCAACCCCCAACCCTAAACCCGAAACCTCCCCCCGGCAAAAATAGCCACAAACCCACTACGCCACGAATCCGCCACAAAGAGCCGAGCAAATTCAGAGTCCGGGCCTTGAAAGGGTTTAGGGCTTGGTAAGGTTTAGGCTTACTCCCCAAACCCTAACCTACCCCCCAAACCCTTTAGGCTGGGTTAAGGGTCATAGGAGCGATGGATCTCTCGTAAAGGCATTTGGGCCCTACAACCTCAACCCTTGTGAGCCTTGACTAGGGTTTAGGGCTCAGGGTTCAGGGTCAAGCCTAACCCTTGTGATCTTGTGATTAGGGTTGGGAGGGGGGGTCCTGCGCTTCGCTCGAGCGACTCCCCAGGCTCCATATGGTGCTCTCCTACCCCTCCCGAGACACCGACATCGGGAAGTTATTCCCCTCCCGCGAAGATTAACCCCCCCACCCCCCCCCCCCCCCCCCCCCCCCCCAATATTAAATACCCCCCCCCCCCCCATATACCATACTATAACTAACTATAATTGGGGGTTATTTAATGTTAGGGGGTAAGGGGGGAGGGGGGGTTAATATTAGGGGGAGGGGATTGCCGAGTTGTTTGTTTAAAGCCCTTTGGAGAGTATTCATGAATAGATTCCCTTGTAGGGAATGTGGGGACATTAAAATTATCCTCTAAAGCACCACAGAGTTTTGCTTTTTTTCGACTAGATGGTGCGATGAGTACCTTAATTACGCTATTGTCCTGCTTAAACAGTATGTTATCTTATGCCATTTTCCTGCTACAATGCTTTATGCTAGCTTATGCTAATGTGATATGACACTCGGCTATATTGCAGTTCCATTTTGGTTGGGACCCGTGCTTGCCTATTCCGTATGGGAGTCGGCGAGCGGCGCCTCGGATGCTTCACACAAATGGGCTCCCGTTTTGCCACGGGTTTAGGTTTCAGGTTTCAGGTTTCAGGTTTCAGGTTTAGGGTTTACAGAAACCGAAAGCCGAAACTTTATGGACATCGAAGCTCAAACCCCTCACTCGCCGCGGATGCCGCGATCCATCTCCAAGCTCAAGCCCAACAAGCCCACTCTACCAACACAAACTCTACCTAGTTGTCCAGTAACCTGGGGGAATTAAAGGTTAACCTTTGGGATTATAAGGGGATTATACGACTCCAAAAAGGTTAAAGGTTACCTACTCTACTCCTAATTGCTTCAGAACCCCCCCAAAAAAAACACAAAACATATCCTTCCTCATTAAGGGTAATATAGGGATTATTTTGTTTTATGGGGTTCTTAAGCAAGTAGAAGTCTACCATCGAAAGCCCTAAATCCTGAATTCCACCGTAGCGTTGAGGTCAGGGTTTAGGTTGTATTGAGGGCACTATAACAAAGACTTGGGGTTTAAACTTTAAACTCTCTCAGACATATGCCCCGAAGCCCCTAACCCTAAACCCGCAACTCCTGAGCGGCAGTCGGCCTCGCACCTCCCAAAACCCTCAACACTGCAGATTTGTCTTTAGGGTTTAGGGTTTAGGGTGTCCATAAACTCGGGTCGTTACTGGGGGTTCCCGTGAGAACCATATGTTAGGTTGAACTGCGCCTCAACCCCAAACGCCACGAACGCGAAAAAACTCTCCAAGCCCCCCTGAGCCCTTTAGGTCTTAAGGCTTCGGATATGTAAACATCCCAAACCCTAAACCCTAAACCCCATAATTACCCTAAACCCTAAACCCCAAACCCTAAACCCCAAACCCTAAAAACCCGCGACCTTGGCCTGGAGCTTCGGCTCCTACCTCGGAAGAAGCAGTGGGAGGAAATCCGGCTTCAGGGCTTTAGGATTTAGGGCATTGCTGCTTTTAAGAACTCCCAGTTCAGGGTTTAGGGTTTAGGGTTTAGGGTTTAGGGTTTAGGGTTTAGGGTTTAGGGTTTAGGGTTTAGGGTTTAGGGTTTAGGGTTTAGGGTTTAGGGTTTAGGGTTTAGGGTTTAGGGTAATAATCCTATATTGCCCTTGTGAGGAAGATTTGTTTATTCCGCTTTTCTTTTTCCTTTTTTTTGAGGAAGGGGGGGGTAGGGCTTGTTCTTAAGCAAGTACTAGATTTGGGGCTTACGCATTTTCAGGGTTTCGGGCAGGGGCTTGGCATTCTGTCAGGGTAGTTTCATGGTCCCTTCATAATTATGGGCCCTTCAAAGGGAACCCCATATATATACACCTTATTTACCCTATACAAATCAAGGGCCACACGAGGCCTCGGGCCGAAGGTGTATAGGTTGTGAGAACAGGCACCCCCCTCCAAATCCTCCCCCCACATTCAGAAATCCTGCCTAAACCCTGAACCCCCTCCCCCTCCCCCTCCCCCCCATCCCCCCCCCCCCCCACCGCCCCCCTCGCCCCCCGTACCCCCCCTATCCCTGTCTGTGCGGAAGGGAGGCCGGGGCTGAACTGGTGCGAGCACCGCCGGGGATGCATTAATGAGGCCTTGAATCTTGAACCTTGAATTCGAAGCCCCCAAACCCCTAAACCCTAAACCTTTTGCCCAAGCTCTCAACCCTCAACCCTCAACCTTAAACCCTAATCCCTAGACCCTGAACCCTAAACCCAGCCCTGCATAAGCCCGGAACCCAAAACCCAAAACCCAACCTTATTGCTTGGGGTCCAGCGACTTGGGCACTGCGGAATCACCATGCTCACGCGGATGCGCTGGGCCGGGCCGAGGCGGGTCGCGTAGCGTCAAAATTACCCCAGGTGGACTTCTGTAGCAGGCTCTGACAAACTGAGGCTCTGAACTCTACACCCTGAACCCCCACACCCTGAACCCTACACCCTAAACCCTACAAACCCTGAACCCCAACCCCCTCTATCAACTGCGGGCTTCTCTTTCGGGGAGCCACCCATCTGACGCCTTTCCCTTAAAACCCTGCACCTCCAAACGAAGATCCCTAAACCCTAAACCCAAGGCGAAGGTCTGGACCCCCACACCTAAACCCCCCTAAACGCTGCTGTTTGGGTTCGAGCTTGGGGTTACCTGAGGCATCCATGGGCCACTGGAGTGAGTGGTCAAAACCATGGTTGCCGACGGGCCCTGAGTGAATGCTGATGTTGAATGTGATGTGGTGATGGTGATGCTGTTGTTTGGGTTCGAGCTTGGGGTTACCTGAGGCATCTATGGGCCACTGGAGTGAGTGGTCAAAACCATGGTTGCCGACGGGCCCTGAGTGAATGCTGATGTTGAATGTGATGTGGTGATGGTGATGCTGCTGTTTGGGTTCGAGCTTGGGGTTACCAGAGGCGTCCGTGGGCCACTGGAGTGAGTGGTGAAAACCATGGCTGTCGATGGGCCCTGAGTGGATGCTAATGATGTTTTTTTTTGTTAGGACATGAGGCTCTGATTTGTTGTGTTTTGCAGAGATTGCGGGCGCTATAGTGTGCCTGCTGGAAGAGCAAAGTTGGAAATCATGAGACCTTATGTTATTTTTATTTTTGAAGAGAGGGTTTCGAAACCCTGGTCGTCAACTTGACCTGCAGGTCGAGAAGAAATACATATCGGCTGTTAGTTGGTGGGCCGTGTGCTGAAAGCTGACATTCTGATGCTCAGAATGACGTGGCTGCAGTGCAGTGCCTGCGCATGCTATCAGAATATGCCTGTGTGCAAGTGTGTCGGGCTCAGGATTTGCAGGCCCGTGTTGTAGGAGTACCTTTCCGCAGCTATGAAAAAAGTGCCTGGGCTCAGACTGCCAAGCGCACCGGTACGTGAGCAGCTGTCCAAAGATTTGAAGGCTTGGTGCAAAAGCACAGGCCACGTGTTGCCGGACACACAAGCCTCCAGTTCAACCGTGCCTGGCACAGAGTCACAAATCTTGAATCTGCATAGTGCGGATGTAGACGACGGAGAAGACCGGCAGCCTGACTTCCTACAGTCACCTGAGCCGACCGCTAGACGTTCCCTCAAGCTTTTATCGCCTGAGGCTGCCGTTGATGTGCCTGATTGGGCTCTTGACTGGGCCGAGGAAATCGAGCTAGCTCATCAACATCAAGCCTTCGTCAAGAACCATGAACATGACGCAAAGTCTGTGGAGTCATTCGGTGTGCCTTCAAGGTTCGTTGAGCGAACCAAGGGCGGCCAGCTCCTACACAATCGCTCCTTGACTAAGGCCAGGCCAGAGGGTTGTCAGAACCAGCCATCTGCAATGCCTGCATGGGCCTCTCAATGGGCATCTGAGCTGACGGCTCAGTTCGAGTCCCAAGCTCTATCAACAGTGACGTTGTCTGCGCATCATCACCTTGGCTCATTTGGGCCAAATGACAGCAAAGTGGACTGGGCAGGTGATCTTCCTTCAGCTCAAGATCTCTTATCGCAAGGTCGGAAGGCCGTCTACCTGGAACGCTTACGCAAAGCTGAGGACATGCAATGTCAACGTGTTGTCAAGGCAGGTTTGCCTGTCAAAGACATCACAGACATTGCGACCATTTTGTACGAAGCAGGGCTTTATGGGCCTCCTCACTTCACTAAGGCTCACAAAAGCCGCGGCACTCTCACTGGCATCTTGGTCAAGCCCCAGTTTGGTGGATGTGTTAGCATTTATGCTAAGACTGGCAAAATCATTGTGGATGGTAGTGCAAATGCCAAGCGACGCATTATAGGGATGCTTTCAACCGTGTCTTGTCCGGCTCAGAGTGCAACATGCATTGATGATGAGCTCCCCACAGTTCACGCCGTCAAAGCGCGACTTGCTAAGCAGTAGTCGGCTGCAGGGCTCCTCGGCCTACCAATCTCTAATTCAGGTGCTGCTGCTATGAGCCAGTGCCATGACAGAACTCAACGCGAGAGGATACAGGAATGATCATTTCTGCTAGCTTTGGCATGTGTGTGTGTGTGTTGTGTGGGTGTGTGTGTGTGGGTGTGTGTGTGTGTGGCTGTGCGGGTGTGTGTGTGTGTGGGCGTGCGGGTGTGCGGGTGTGCGGGTGTGCGGGTGTGCGTGTGCGTGTGCGGTGGCGTGCGGGTGCGTGCGTGTGCTCGTGCGCGTGCTCGTGCGCTTGTGCGTGTGCGCGTGCGTGCGTGCGTGCGTGTGCCTGTGGGTGTGCCTGTGCCTGTGGGTGTGTGTGTGTGTGTGTGTGTGTCTCTGTGTGTGTGTGTGTGTGTGTGTGTGTGTGTGTGTGTGTGTGTGTGTGTGTGTGTGTGTGTGGTGTGTGTGTGTGTGTGTGTGGTGTGTGTGTGTGTGTGTGTGTGTGTGTGTGTGTGTGTGTGGTGTGTGTGGTGTGTGTGGTGTGTGTGGTGTGTGTGGTGTGTGGTGTGTGTGGTGTGTGTGGTGTGTGTGGTGTGTGTGGTGTGTGTGGTGAGTGTGGTGTGTGTGGTGGTGTGTGGTGTGTGTGGTGTGTGGTGTGTGTGTGTGTGTGTGGGCGTGTGTGTGTGTGTGTGTGTGTGTGTGTGTGTGTGTGTGTGTGTGTGTGTGTGTGTGTGTGTGTGTGTGTGTGTGTTTGTGTGTGTGTGTGTGCGCCTGTCTGTTGCTTGCCTGTCTGTTTGTTTGCGTGTGTGTGTGTGTGTGTGTGTGCTGCGAGTTTTGCTCTGCGGTTCTCTCCAGTGTTTTCGGAGGCCCTCTGACTCGACCTGGACTGCTTGTGTGGTGCTGACGGAACAGGGCTCATGTGACACTGCCTGTCTGAAGCTCATTGACTTGTTTGCTAGGTGTCTTTTTCGAGGGCTGAGCGCCGAGGTTTCTGCCCTTTGCAGCTTTCCTCCTTTTTCTCTTGTCACCACCTCATCATGGCTGACCTCGAGAGTGAGCTTGTGGCATTCTTCACCAAGGCAGCAGCAGCTAGGAAACTGCTGTGCTTGAGGACACCTTATACGCAGCTTGTGCTCTCGACGTGGGAGATTATTCAAAGGAACTGCTGGGAACTACGAGACAGTGTTCCTTCAAGGTCTGGCCGGTGGCCGCTTCCCTGCTGCTGTTGATGGAGTTATAGAAACATGTCGGTCTTGCTTGAAACAAAGCCTCAGATTCGTGGCTGATTGCACTTCTGCTCTGATGGGAAATGTTCCCACACCAGATGACAGTCCGGAACCTTTGAGGATTGGCTTAGGCTCGCCTTCAACTACGGGGTGTTTGGACGCCAGTGGCTCCTCTGTCAAGATGAATGTACTGTGCGGCAGCCCAACCTCCATTCAGGCAGCTTTTGCAGCAACTGGCCTGCATGCTATTGGCCTGCCAGGCTCGCGGCTCCCATTGAGCCTGAAGCTCCCCAAAGATGCAGGATTCACTTTGTGCTCAGCAGGGCAGCCAAACTACAACAGTGTTGCTGCTGCTGTGCGTAACGAGTTTTTGTCCTCTTTCAAAAGAGTTGCAGACGTCGGTGGTGACAGGCGCTTATGGCTGTCCGTGGCTCCCCATGAAGGTGACAGTTTTCTGTGGCTCATCTTTTACCTACCTCCGAGCAATGAAAGTTTATGGTATGAAGAACTTGCTGGCATTGATGCCGACCTGCTACATCTTCAACAGCAGTCCGCCCTTCCGTTTGTGATCCTGACAGGTGATGCCAACATGCAACCCTCATCGCTTGGCAAAGGGCCTGACCCCAAACCTGCCCGTGATAAAGCTTTGTCGGCTTTCATGCACAAGTGGTCATTTGACTTGTGCAACACGGGGCAATCTGATGACCCACCTGTGCCTGTTGCTCTGCCTCGTCGTAAAAAGACCATTTGGGCAGCTTCTAGTGACACTCATCACTGCAACGGTGGGCCTGGAACAAGTCGCACCTTGGACCTGGTCATGGCGTCCAGTGAGTGCCCCGTCATAGTAACGGTTCACAATGGGGTGCATTGCAAAAACAACTGCACGTGGGATGACTGTTGTGAATTTACAGGCAGTGACCATTTCCTGGTTGAGGCTCTTATTGACGGCCCGTGTATGCGAGCAGCTGTGCCTGCCCAAATAGCTCTTCCTTCCCACTGGCATGAACCTGCCCTCTGGGAACATGGTCTCGGCTGCGCAAAGGGTGCCTTGGCTTCTCTATCTGAAACTGTTCATCTTTTGGTTCTTGCAGACCTTTCGCAGCTTGCCAAGAAGGCTACGCTCCCTGCATGGTTAACATGGTGCATTGATGTACTGGTGCTCCTGCTGAGCATCATTGAGTCTAGTGTCAGGGATGTCTGGGTCGTCTTTGCAAGGGTAGACAAGCGTAAAAGGCCTCGCGCTGCTGCCTTGCCTGCAGCTCAGCAGGAATCTTTCTCTGAAGACGAACTTGAACGACTGCTTCGTCTAGGACAACAAAATGGGATTTGGCCACAGTCGGCCATCTCTACTTGTCTGAGATGGCTCAGGCCTGCGCGTCCTCAACCGCCAGAACGCCTAAACCACGATGGACGCCTGCTGACAAGGGCAGCAAGCCATGAGGCATGGATCTCCCAGCTATTTACGCAGGGAAAGTGGCCGACTAGCTACAATGCTGAGTTCCATTCTGAGGTTTGCCGCCGCGCGCAGGAGTATAGTCGTCAAGCTCGTGCACACATTGGTGAGGGACCCTGGGATGCTGAGATTGACTTCTCTGAGTGGTACAGGGCTGCTGCAAACATCCAGTCATCGCGCGCTGTCACGCCTTTTCTTTCACATCGAGTTTTGCTAGCTTGTGGCACTAATGAGTGGTGTCATGCCGCTTGGAAACTGCAACAAGTATGCGGGCCATCATGCCTTGCCTGGCGGCCAGCCTTGTGGAGGCATCGTTTTCTTATTGTCAAGCATAAGAAGGGGCCTGTCTGTCACGAATCGTCTTTCCGCTTTCTAGGAGTGGCTGAGCTGCATGGTCTTCTTCAAGAAGAAATCCTCATGTCAAGGATCAGCCCTGTCATTCACTCATCTTTTGATTTCGTTCAAACTGGCTATCGGTTTGATGTTTTGCATCATCATCTCACTCTCTCTGTCCTTCAAGATGACTACAAGTGCTGGCGTCGCGCTTTCTTTGTCATTTTTGCTGACTTCGTTCACGCGTTTCCGAGGGCATGGCGGGACTTGCTTTTGGTTGAGGCTCGGCACACTGCAGGTATTCGAGATGGGGCCTTCGCTTTACTAGCTTCGGTCATGAAGTGCGACTTCTGGCGAATTGCGCTAAGTGGCGAGTCTGTTGCCACAGTAGCTGATGGTGTTCCGGAAGGGAGCAAGTACGGACCGCCCTGCTTCAACTTCTTGCCAAACACGCTTGTTCGCAGAATGCGTGAAGCTCGTTGTGGTCTTGCGACAAGCGCTTGGGTTCCTAAGGCCTGGGCCTCTCACACCTGGTCAGGCTTCGGGAGTCCTGACTTGCGCAAGGCACAAAGCATTGCAGACGATATTGCCTCTGGCCGACAGCTGCCCCGTGTAGCTGAGCTGGCTCGCAATTCTGATCTTGAAGCAACTTGTGCACGTGCTTTAGACTTGCTTGACAATGACAGGATACCCGTTTTGCTGCATGCCGATGATCCCCTCATTTTGGCGTCCAGCCGAGGAGAAGCGCTTAGGACCCTTGGAGTCATTGCTGCTTGGGCTTGGGACGTCAAGGTTTCTCTCCATTTGGGGCCATCCAAGACTGTAGTGCAGCAGTGGAGACCAGGCCTGCAGCAATCTGAGACAGTAATTCATCCTTTGCTTTTTCCTCAGCATGCCCCTCTGCTTCCTGCCCCGCTTGAGGGCGTGCAGGTTCACAAATGGCTCGGACTTAAATGGGCAGTGTGTGGTGAGTGGATGTCTCATGTCACTCCACTTCTAGCACAGTGCTCTGCCACAGTGGACATGTTGTGTACGTTGTTGACTTCGCAGCGGATCCCACTAGCCTTTGCCGTGCTCATCTGTGACCAGAAGGTTGAGTCGGTCCTTAGGTTTGGTAGGTGGTTGTGGGGTTTAGATGAAGCAGCACAGAGCGCGCTCAGACTCGCCTACGAGCGCTGGTCTCGGAAACTTACAGGAGCAAGCAAGTGGCGCAATGCTGCTGTGTGCTTCAGCGAGCTTGGGTGGACTTTTGGTACTCAAGCTCGTGTAGTTTTAGAAGTCGCTCTGGTGAGGGCCACGCTGTGGCAACAGGGTGACGAAACACTTGCCGGCCTGACTTTCACCCGCGGACTCACGTCAAAGGCAGCAAACTGGCCTGTCAGATCCTTGGCGCTGCTTCGTGAGCATCACATCTTGGACTGGCCTGAGTGGGTATTGTCAGGTAAGGCTGGTGGATCCTACAAAAGTTTCGTTAAAGGTGAGCTCAGAGGTCCATGTAGCCATCTGCAGGAAGCACTGTCCAATTATGCTCCCTGGGAGACATTGCTGGGGCAGCGTGCCTTGATTATGATTAGGTGTGGCTACGTGGCACTTGGGCATGTGAGCCAGAGGCAAACCGCTGCTCGCATTCAGGCGTGCGTTCTTTGCGGCAGGCGCTACTCGAACGTCACCGCTCATGTCGTATGCTCTTGCGAACGCTTGGCAGAATTGAGGGAGGTCTGTCTACGCATTGGCGCTGACTTTTCCTCTCTGGAAATTCTGGCCATTCCCCCATCTCATCCGGCATACTCGGAAGTAGTGAGGCTTGCCATTGAGATTCTGCGAAGTGCGCAGAACTTCTGGAAGACAGTTTCGTGAGAAGCGCGCGCAGGTAGTGTTGGGGGGTGCTACGTCCAGACACTGCGGTGCTGGCATGCTGGCCTCACACTTTGGGCTCCTGCAAGCTTACGCATCTGGCTTGAGCCCACAAGCCTGTCCTACCGGGACTTCGAACCAACCAACCTAAA